GTGCCTGGGTGGCGGGGGTCACGGGCAGGCTGGGCCCAGGGAGGTGCGGGCCTGGAATGCAGTCCACATTCCCAGTGGGCCCATGTGCAGGAGGGGCAGCCTCTGCGGGGAGTGGGGGCCAGAAGGGTAGCGTGAGAGTAGGCTATGAAACCCCCTCCTGGTTCAACAAATAGCGAAAGTGGGGCTCCAGGCAATGGACAGGTGGCCAGCGGGTCAGAGAGGTCAGGAGCCAACAGGGAAGCGGGTTCGTGACATCAGAGGCCCTCTCTTATCCCAGCAGGAGCTGCCTCCGGCCCTCTCTTGCCCCGGCAGGAGCTGGAATCCAAGTGAGCCTGACCCGGCAGCCCCACAGTGAAAGGCCACCGAGACAGCTGGCTGAGTGTGTGTGTGTGTGGCGGAGTGGGTAGACATAGGGAGCACATGTCATTGCTACCAAAAGTAGCTCTGGACCCTGGGCTGTTCATAAACTGTGCATTCAAACAATGCTTCTCAACCCCTCTGCCACCCCAAGCCCTTTTGTGTGCACCTGCCTGCCTCTCCTATAGGCAGGATCTCAGCTAACTGCATGGACACAGCCATTGTGCCTCGGCCATCCACACATTAGAAGGGGCCTAGAGGACCCTGGAGGCAGACACAATGGTAGCAACAGAATCAAAATGAAAATCCTAATGAAACAAAAACCAAAACCTAAAATCCAGAGCCCTATGTATCAGCAGAGGAAGGTAGTGGCTGGATGATCACAAGATCAGAAAATCCTGGTCAAAGAGACTGTAGTGTACAACCCTTTCCCAAGGTACAAAGTCTGTCGCTAGTGTCCCTAATGTGGATGCTTGGCTCAAGCTTCCAGGGACAAGAATATGAGGACCACACGTGGAAACCTCCTCCAGAGTTTTCCCTTACCCGGAGTGGGGAGCGCCTCACAGTGCTGTACATAAAAAGTGACCCTTTATATGTACCAGTGGTGGTCAAGGTTATGCTCTAGGAAGTGCCCGGATTAAACACTGTTTCTGAGTATTTCCATCAGGGCATTTCTAGACAAGGTTAGCATCTGAGTCTCTGAAGTGGGTAACGGCCTCCCCAGTGTGGATGGTCATCATCCAATCCCCTGAGGGCCCGCAGAGGACCAGGTGTAGGGAGGAAGCTGGAAGTTGACCTTTTTCTGGCCTGACTGCTTGTCCTCAGAACATCTCATCTTATCTTCTGCCCTTGGACTGAGTTTTTCATGGACAATCCCTGGTTCTCAGGCCTTTGGACTCACTGAGTGACAACATGGGCTCTCCTGGGTCGCCAGCACGCATATGGCAGATCACAAGGTGGGGCAGATCACCCCACCTCCACAACCACATAAGCCAACGCCTGGTAATAAATCTGTCTATAATCTATGTCTACCTGTGTCTCCCTATCTATATCCAGCTTGTTCTCCATTTGGTTCCGTTGCTCTGCAGATCCCACAGCTTCAGAGAGTAACGGATATTCAGAGGGGCCAGAAATGAATTGCTGGAGGGCAGGAATTACGTTGGATTCACTTTTTGTCATCCTTAGTGTCCTGTAGCATCCTACATTGCACATGGTGGATAGGGAATTCAGAAAATAATTTTCGGAATGCTGAGTGAATAGCATGAGGGACAAGGCTACACTGTCAGAGCCCCACCAGTCCTATTCACACGGTTTTCCCCATGAGGCCATTACACGACTTACACACCGTTAAGAAACCCTGCATCCAAGAACCAAAAACCAAGGATGCTGTTGCAAGGAAGGTCGTGGGCTGCACAGAGGCCACAAGCCGGCGGTACAGACCCAGAGGGGGCGACTTTTGGAAGACAGAGTGCCATATCTGCATTATATCTCCCATCCAAGTACTAACCAGGCCCGACCCTGCTTAGCTTCCGAGATCAGACGACATTGGGTGCGTTCAGGGTGGTATGGCCGGAGACTGCATTATATCTCATGCTGTATGAAGTTTAAAAAAATAGAAACATCTAATATGCTCAGAGGGAAGGGACAATCTTTCAACTGAGTAGAACTTTAAACGCTGGAGGGGACGCTGGGGATTTAGCTCAGTGGCAAAGCGCCTGCCTGGCAAGCGCAAGGTTGTGAGTTCCATTCCTGGTATCGCAGGAAAAAAAAAAACAAAACAAAAAAAAAAACCGCTGGAGGGACTGGAGAGTTGTTTTTTTTTGTTTGTTTGTTTGTTTGTTTTTTTTAAGACAGGGTCTCACTGTGTAGTCCAGGCTGGCCTGGAACTCATGGCGATCCTCCTGGCTCAGCCTTCTGAGCTCTGGGATTACAGATGTGTGCCGCCCCTCCTGGTTGGAGAGGATTTTCCAAGGTGGAAGAATGGCCTGAGTCCTGGCAAGCTGTGGTCAGCACAAGCTGGGGTGGGGCAGGACATGCGACAGGCGGGGTGGGGGAATTCCTGGAGAGAACTTGCAATTGCCTAGTTGTCCTGTGAGCTATAGCACCTACTGGGGTACAGACCTGGCATTTTTCTGTGACGTTCACTGGCTCACAAAGCACTGTGAATCCATGTCCTCCTCCTTACTGACACTGTTCTTAATCTAAGCTAAGAAGGCCAGCTAAACAGTACATTTGGACTAAGCTGTTCCCTGTGGCCCAACTGCTAAATATCAACACTGGCCAGAGCATTTCATCAGACAGATGGATTAGTATTTTTTTTTTAACCTCAACTGATAAAAATGCCCTCTTCCTCCTGCGTCCCACAGCAACTGCAAGACGTAATGCTTCAGGACTATCTTCCTTTCCTCTTCATGAAGTCATGCTAACTTGCAAACTGCTACCACTGCCGTAGCCTCGCTCTAGGGCTGGCCTTCCTGGCCCGGCACAGAGGCAGCCCTTGGATAGCTGTTGCCTAGCAACACCTTACAGTGGGATGGACAGTGGTCCAGAGCATCCAGAGCTCTCCCAGTGCAGACAGCTCGGGCGGAGAGATATCATCTACCTTAACTTAAGGCTGAGGCACACAGGCTTTGGGGCTTCTCATAGAGAAATACAAAGATGAAGTCTCAATGAATCGTTATCTCACTTTAGCATGTTGCTTAGGGGTCATTTCTTTCAACTTCATTCTTATCTCCCCTCTGCTTACACCCTCTGCCCCTAGGAAGTTTTGTTTTCACAATTTTAGAGAGAAATCTACAGAACAAGTCTGAACACTTTTCTTTTTAAAGAAAAGTCACATTTAAGCTTGATCTTTCTTTTAGGCATGCACAAACCCAGCTTATTTATTCTTTTTCCATAAAAGAGGGTGAGAGATTGGAGTGAGTGCCTGGTGATTGTCGTCACAGACTGGCTTATATACCGGTCCCCAGGGCGTCAGTGCTGTGTGTCTTGGGGATAAGAGCTCTGCTGAGAGTTTTGGGGATCCTACACTTTTCGGAGAGCTTGAAGCTGTGACTACTCACTGTCACCAATGGAGGGGTAACAGGAGGGGGAGGAGGGAGGACTCACTACGGAAGGTCAAAGCAAACAAAAGCGGGTGTAGGGGGCTGGGGGTTTAGCTCAGCGGCAAAAGCGCCTGCCTGGCAAGGGCAAGGTCGTGAGCTCGGTTCCCGGTACCGGAAAAAAAACAAAACAAAACAAAAAAAAAAGCGGGTGTAGACTCCTCCAGTGGAAATACAAAGTGTCACCTGTGGTCCAGTGTTACAACTGGGGGTTGCCTCATTCCGAACTTTCAAAAAAGTTCTTTTATCCAGGGTTAAGGCGTCCCACAGGCCCAGCTTCATTCTTGCTTTCTCATACCACAGAGCTGGAGAGTTACTCCTAGTAGTAACTCCACGGATTTGTGACATCATGAAGCCACGTGATACTTTCTGGAGTAGTTTTCTTACGATATATGAAGCCAGAGTGCAGCCTCTGAAATCAAATTGGTATGGGTTTAAATCATTCTACTGCTTCTGCTTTATGATGTGGGACAAGAGTTTTAACTCTGAGCCTCTTTCCTCATGCGTGCATTGGAAATACCAGCCCTGCCAAGATCTTGGAAACACGGTGTTCAGGCACAAATGCTGGGGTAGTGCCTGATTCTTGTCGGCATTCAAACTTTAGTCCCCTCCCCTCTCCTCTGCTTTGTGTCTCCCTCGCCTCTATCATTACGTCTTCTCCGTCAGAAACTAAGCAGAGGCCAGGGCTGCGGCGAGACAGGTCAGAGGGAGTCAGCTGATGAGGAGCGCGGCCCTCACTCTTGTTCCTGCGGCTGTTTTCTTCCTTACTGGAGGCGGGTGTACATGCTCACCCTGAAATTGCCATTGCCGGTTTCTCTTTGAGCTTTTGAGAATGCGATAGAAAGTGAACAGAGGGGGCAGACTCGGGGTAGAAGGCAGTCAAAGAAAAGTCCTGCAGGGCTGGGGATTTAGCTCAGCGGCACAGTGCCTGCCTGGCAAACGCAAGGTCGTGAGTTTGATTCCCGGTACCAGAAAAAACAAACAAACAAACAAAAAAGAAAAGGTCCTGCAATAATCCGAAACTGGGGAGGATGAACAGGTGTTCTTTTTTGAGGGGAAGACGAAAGCATTGTCAAGACTCAGGGAAACAAGGTTAAGTCTCTCGGTCAATATGCACTGAGCACCCTATTTTATACCCGCGCAGCTTTCTAACGGGATACCCAGCCACCCGGACCCCGGCTCCTCCCATTGTGTGCTTAGGGTCTAAACGGACATAGAAGAGCCTGAAAGGTCAACCACAGCCTACTCGGAGGCGCCAATCATACAGGTCCTAAAAGGCTGCACACTGAAAGCCCGACTCGATGTGTTTAGTCGCGGAAGGCTCCCTGTCAGAGGCGAGTTCTAAACCCATTCCTAGGAGAGGAGGGCCCGGGGCTGAAGGGGAAGAATCGAGGGGCTGGAACAGCAGGTGCAAAGGCCTGGTGGTGCTCAGTGGGGGAAAAGCCCTCCTCCTCCAGGGCTCTGAGAGGCTCCGTTGGCCTGGCACTCTCCTCCCCTGGCACAGCTAGGCCCGGACAGGGGGCTGGGTCACAGTGGTCTAACCTCGCTGGACCGGAGAACTCCAAAGAACGGGTAGAGGAAGGCAGGCACCAGCGCCGCGGCTCCCAGGGGCACCGCCTCGGACACCCAGTACACGGCCGTCACCATCAGCACGTAGGCACACGCGGCCTCCTGGAGGGGAGGAAAGAGCGGGTTAGTCCCGGGCAGGGAGAACCCACACACGGCCCGGGCTGGGGCGGCTGGCGCCAGGCACAGCGCAGCTGCCCAGGGAAGACCCATTCTTTGTGGGTGAAGCTGCGGCTGCTCCTCGGGCCAGGTGGGCGCACGGTCAGCGCTGGTGTGGACGCCACGCGGCTCTGGTGGCGCCTGAAACTGCGGGGGCGGGGACTGAAATTGAGACCCAAGATGAGGAACTGTGACGGCGGAGTTCGGAGCTTTAACGCAGACTGGAGCAGGTGCAGCGGACACTAGAGACCCGAGGTGAAGCTAGACTGGTTCCTCACCGGAGCGGGCGGGTGGCGGTGTTGGCTTGCGCACGCGCAGTACGCACAGGGATGCAGATCGCAGGGTGTGGGGAGCTGGGTGTGCAAGAAGTGAGATTTAGGAATAATCCCAACGGTGGCTCCTGCACCACGTTCTCATGGCCCTGAGATGAGTCTCAGAAATACCCTAGAGAGAACAGCAAGGCCCTGAACCCTCACCCTCTCCAGCCTCGCCCCTGAAAGAGTAGCCCTGCTGTCCTTTGATTCTGGCTACATTATAAGATTTTACTTAAAAATAAAAAAGGCCTCGCGGCTTTAAAAATGAGTAAATGAAGTTACATCGCCTTGCTTCAGATTGTCAGCTAATACTACATCCATTCAGTAGTAACTTTTTTGTTGCAAAGTTTAGTGGCAAACTTGGGGCCTCAAGCGATCCTCCTGCCTCAGCCTCCTCATAGCTGGGATTACAGGTGTGCACCATCATTTAGTAGTAAATTTTAATACAATATAAATTGCTAGCCAAGAACTGGTTTGCTATTTCCCCCTCGAGTGTCCAGGCTGAGGTTCTTTTGTACTGCATTCCCATTGAGTGGCAGGGCGAGCCTTCCTGGGGGCAGGGGCGGTCGTTTGTAGTCAGTACAGAGCCTGTAGTCAGTACCATGCTGAGAGCAGGACCCTCACTGTGGATGAGGAAGAAGATGAACTCCTAACTCAGTGTTTCTCAACCTTGGCTCTAGTGACATTGTGGGCTGGACAATCCTTTGTTGTGGGGCTGTCCCGTGCAGTGTAAGGCATTTGTTGTGCTTCTCTGAAAATAAGACCTAACAGCCTTGAAACGAGAGACCAAAAATGCCAGCCCCACTCAGCCTGTCCTTGCCTTGCCTGCCTCACAGAGTAGCCACCAAGCTAGAGAAAAAGTGGGGCAGAATCTTCGGCATGAGTCTGGCGAGCACCACTCTGGCTGGTCACCATCAACTAGGGCTTATTTTCTAGCTAGGGCTTATTTTCAGGGAAACACTGTAGCAGCGTCTCTGGTCTGTACTCACTAGCTGCCAGTTGGGACAGCTGAAAATGGTGCTCACTGCTCTTCAAGCCCTTTCACCTGCCTGAGGCCGCAGGAGCATCCTTTGGCCAAGGGAACAGAGCTCCGCCTCCGTGGAAGGCGGCTGGGCATTCACCAGCATTCCCTCCGGCCCACTCGCTTTGCCTTTGGGTAACCTAGGGGCCCACAGATAAATGAGTGCACGTCCTCATCTAAGCCCAGCCTTGCTTAACTTCGGCTTCCAGCAATGCTGATGGCCCCCGGGGATGCCGACGGAGGTGCTGAGGAAGGCTGCTAGGGGCATGCAGGACTCGGAGGACCCTGTTATAGAAAAGCAAGGGCACTGCGAATTTCTCAGTTTCCACTGAGTTCTCCACCATGGGGGCCCTGGCGACCTCCCCTGCTTGCTGCCCCGAGAACCTGGGAGCTCTACCTATCTGTAGCCCCCTGAGCACAGAACTAGCGTCCTCTAGCTGCCTCATTAAAGTTACAAAAGATTGCTGTGCTCAGAGAGGGCGGAGAAGCGGCCAGCAGGCTCTGCCCAAAGGGACCTTGCTCCTCCTGGTAGGCATCGGTTACAGGGCTGGGGCCACTGGTTTGCAGCAGGGCCAAGAGGTGAGAGAGAAGACAAGACTTGGAAGCGCTAATGATAAGACAACAGATTCCAGTAGGGTGGAAAGGTAGCTGCGCTTGGGAAAGAGTGCAGTTGAGCCAGGTGTGATGGTACACGCCAATGATCCCAGCACCCGGGAGGCTGAGGCAGGAGGATCATTGTGAGTTTGAGGCCAGCCTGGGCTACAGAGTGAGTTCAAGGCCAGATTGCACTGCATAGCAAGACCCTGACTCAACAAACAAAACCAAACAAGCAAACAAAAAACAAACAAGAAAAAGAATGCAGTTGAGAGAAATGCCCTCTTTGTAATAGAAATAAAACTACCTGAACAAGTTCAAAGCTCTCTGGAGCCTACTTCTCATTGCCTGTCTGGGAAAGAGACAATGACAGTCTTCGTTCCAGGTAGAGGAAGGGGCAGCCTGTCTTACTGGGAAGCCTGTATCCTGGTTAGGAGAGCGTCACAAACCAAGGGAGCTGGGCTGGAGGGGACAGAGGGACAAGGAGAAGGGAGGTAAAGAGAGAATTTTCCTCCTACCATGCGCCAGTTGGGGCTGAACTAGGAGATCTGGGGTAGGCTGAATAAACTGCTCACTGGGAAAGATCTTTAGGAATTGGGGAAGGTCCTGGAGGAAGTCCGTGTGCCTCCTTCCGCCAGCAAATCATATCAACCTCCTTCCGGCCCCTCTTGGTCTTCCCGGCAGGCACTTCACAAGCCTGGATTCAGCCCCAAGATGCTGCAGGGCTCTGTTTTAGGCCTCTGGGGTCTCCCTTCTCTTACTGGGAGGAATATTCTGGAAACCCCACGGCACTGCTCATCAGGAACTCGGGAGTTGGTAGGTATTCAGGGAAAGCTAAGGGCCAGTTTTTATTTTATTTTATTTTATTTTTTTGCTATTGTTCAAAACACGGAGACAGTTCAAAAAGGGGAGGCCCCTGTGGAGGGTGCTGCTACCTTGAGACTATCTCAGGCTATCGCTGTGCTCCACCACCAGTGACCGCTCACCAGGAGCTTGACATCTGCTCGTTTGCCCTTTGTAAAATTTAGCTTAGGAGGCTGGAGGCAACGTTTATCCCACTGGGGACCCTGAAGAGGGGCTTGGTGATGGATGCCTCTTCTTGCAGCCACTTCCGTTTTCATTTGGGACTGAAACACAGCCTTGCGAATGCTAGCTGAGCCCTGTACCACTGAGCTACACTCCCCCACCCCCCGCATCTGTGATATGACAAGCAGGTCTGGGGAGACATCGGCACCTCTCAGAAGGCAGCGGTGGCTTGGCATCCTGAGGACCAGCAGGACTCCTGGCCAGGAGCTCCTGCCCAAGTACTCAGCCACTGCTCCCCATGCCAGGCGTTCTGGGGGTTCCGCGTCAGAATGGAAAAGTCTGACACTGGGGTGAAGGCTGGGAAAGGCATGGCTAGTGTTGTGTGCCCCGCCTGTGCTTGCAGTGTGTGCACACTGCCTTAAAGAAGAGACGGGCTTCCTAAAACTGCTGTGGGGAAGAAGGGTGCTTGTCTCTTGATTCCTTTAGACCCAGCTGACACTGAGTTAAAAGCACCATAAAAATGGGACAAAAAGGGCTCATCTGGACAACACAGACGCTGACCAGTGGGCAGCCCCAGAGAGTCGTCACCTGCTGATCCCCACCCAGGGCTCACTGCATTTCCCCAGCACTCTAGGTTATTTCTGTTACTAAAGACGTAAGCCAGCTTGTCTGTAAGAATGACCCCAATCCTCTCTATTTAACTTTTTAATTTAATTTTGGTTCCAAGTGAATCAAGGAGCGAGTGGAAGGCGCTCTTCCCCTCCCACTACCAGAATTCCCCTGCTGTGGCTTATTTTTCCTACATCTCAAGGGTAGCGCCAGCTGGGGGCAGCCAGAGGTGAACAGAGAGGAAGGGAACGGAGGTGAACTATGGGTCCCAGAAACAACCAATCACAGAGCCCGGGCACCGCTACCTGCTCACACGATCCCCGTTAAACATTAGGTCACGGTCCCGAGTTTGGGGCCACATTTCTTTCTTTTTTTCTTTCTCTGTTTTAGATCAACCCCAAGGGCAAACTACCACAGAGCTGCATCGTGAGCCATTTTTATTTCTTTTATTTTGAGGCACAGTCTTGCTAAATGGAATTTGCAGTCCTCCTGTCTCAGCCTCCCAAGTAGCTGAGACTACAGGTACCCATTGCTGTACCTGCCTGCCTCATTTTTCTATCTTGTCTTTTTCCAATTGTCAGAGGTGCAGAGAAGGAAACACAGAGGATGCAGATAACCACAGGGCCACCCACGCAGAGCCACAGCAACACGCCAAGCTCTGTTTCTGCCTTCAGCTTTCCTGCCCTGCGGTTCACTGGGAGCCTCAAGGATGCAGATTTTCAGCGTCGGGTTATCAGCGCCCGCCACGACCGACCACCGGCCACAGTGCCCACAATGCTCCACAATGCCCTCCGGCCCCGTCCTGGCCCACAGTGTCACAGCCCTCCCTGTGTGTGTAGCAAAGAAGGTCTTTTACATGGTGTCCCAGGGCGTCCTTCTTACGGGTGGCTGTGCCCGCGCTGTGCTCTGTGCACACCTGTCAGTGATTTCAGCCGAAGCTCCCTCTCTGTCCTGATGCCTGTCTGCGCCCACAGGGTTGGGGACTGGCAGTAAGAGGGAGGGGTTTCGGGAAGGTATTTTGCCCCCCTCAAAAAAGTTCATCTATTCAAATGCACAATAACCCATCTTGGGGCGCTGCCGCAGATCCCCATTCCCCCTGTGCCCTCCCTGGTGTGCCCTGCCCCAAGACCAGGTACTTACACTGCTCGGGTGCAGGATGGGCAGAGGCAGCAGCAGCAGGGGGACGCAGATGACCAGCAGCAGCTTCCTGGCCCGGAGGAGGCCCTGCAGGAAGCCCATGGCGGCCCTACCTGCGCTCCTGCCTGGCTGGTTCTTCCCTACGCTGCTGTCCGGCCAGGAAGACTTCTTAAGCTGGGCTGCCAGAGCCCTCTCTGGTCTTGCGGGGCAGAAGAGGAGGGCTGTTACACCCCCGTTTCCACAAGAGGTGGGCTCCTGGCCTTCCTCCTAGGTGGGGCTGATGAGCAGCAGAAAGCAACTGGGAAAGGGTGGTACCCAGGGCATAGTGGGCTCCTCTTGGCTTGGTTAGCAAGAGAGGATCTTCATGCTCCCTGTGGGCAAAAGCCTTCCTGAACAATTAAAACCACGCTTTTGCTGCTTCTGCGTGGCCTTGGAGAATCATTTAATATTAAAAAAATACTAAGAGCATAGCATGCTGGCCATCATTTTTCCCTCCCTTGGATGGCCCACAGCGGGGAGGATCTGTTCCATCTCCTGCCTGGCTCCCTAGTGTAAAAATCTGGGAGCCCCTTCCCCCAAAACCGGTGCCTGGGAGCCCCTCACACGGGTTTGCTGCTCTGTCCCAGGCCCTGTCACCCTACCTCCTTTCAAATTTCTTTCCTTCAAATTGGTTTCCTACTTCTAATTTGCCTTGAGCCTGGGCCTCCAAAGCGAGGAGGAAAGAAAAAAAAATTCCCAAGACATTCCTGATTATCACAGGACAAAAACTTGCGGGAGGTCCACCTTTAACTTTAATCTACCAATGGGAGGCCCGGACAGAGGCAGTAGCCACACCCACGCCTCAAAGCCAATCAGCAAGTCGAAAAGAATGACTCAGTATCTCTTTCAAAGGCAGCTCTTGATTGGTCACAGCAGGGGCCTGCTGATTGTGCAGGATCTAGGCAGCTTGCAATGCTTATTTTTCCATTTCTCAGACATCCTAGGGGCTGGAGTGATGATCATTGTTGTAAACATAATCCCAGTTCCCCAAGCACTGCTTTGGTGTTTCTAAGCTAGGGCACAGATCTCTCCCCGGAGGGGCCCCTTGCTGACCTGGTCATCTGGAAGGTGACAGATCCTGGGCCAGAGGGACAATGTACTACTGATGTTCCAGAGTGTACTGTGTTAAGCTTTCGGACTTCCCCGCTGGCCAACATTGTTTCCTCCACAGTGAGGGAATACAAGGGTCTTAGCTATAAGTGTGAGACTGTAAGAAGCACTCTGGGATTGGGGGAAAGGGAGAAGAGCAGCTGACTCTCTGAACAGGTCTAGACGCCTCTTGCTCCAGAGGTCCTCCGACGCTGGTGCCGGTGGTCTTTCTGGCCGGACAGGCACTCAAATGCTCCTTTCCAAGGGCTCCTTTGGCTGGCGTGCAGAAGGAGGTGCTGGGGATGTGAGAAGTTGACAAGTCCAGGGAAAATGGCTCAGGAGCAGCAGATTGGAATTTCTGGTCTTCATAGATCAGCCTTTCTTCTAGGGGAGGGCTTGGGGTTTGGGGATGGTGAGGAAAAGAAAAGAAAAGAAAAACCCTTCCAGTCTTCTTTAAGTGGTGGTTTTGGCAGCATTACCTTGACCTGGGAGCTGCTGAGCAGAGGCAGAGCTTATGAGATCCATTTTCTCCTCTTGATGCACAGAATTCAAGGACTGGCACTTTCTAAGGTGTGCAGCAAGCGCTGTTGGAAATGATCCCCAGGCCAAACGTGAGGCAACCAGGAAAGTGGCCCAAGAAACCAGTCCTGGATCTTGGCAGTTACTTGGCCAATATAATGCCAGCTTTGATAACTCATATCTTTGCATGCATCTTAAAGACTGATTGTTGTATTTACTACATTAGGGCCTCATTTTTGTTTTTGTTTTTTTGGCTTCTTGAGACAGGGTCTCACTATGCAGCTCAGGCTGGCCTTGAGCTCACTTTGTAGCTCAGGTTGGTCTCGAACTCACAGCGATCCTCCTGCCTCAGCCCCCCTAGTGCTGGGATTACAGGCATGCGCCACCACCCCCAGCCGGCCTCATTTTTATAATGGGTTTTAAATTCAGAATGAACAAGACCTCATGGGTGATATTTTAGTTGCAAACAGAGAGACTAAAAACAAAAATAGAAATCAACATCCACTATTCAACCTAGGAACCACTTAAATTCCTTGGTGAGATAATCTGAGAATAACAAAGATTCCAGTGAGTTTAGCAACTTGATTGTGGTATTTTTATTATTCATAGGTGAATATTTGTGAATAAGGTTAGGTAAGGCAAGTGACACAGTAAGACTAGTAGTTCTCTTTTAAGACTATCCATTTTTCAGGCAAAGAAAACACTTTCCAAAATCCAATGTTCAAGAAACGGAAGACAGACCCTACTTGTGTGAGACAGGGAAAGTGGTCACATTCTTAAGAACAAAAACTAGGGTGATCGGTTGCCAAGTGTTGGGGGTGTGGCTGGGGATTTAGTTCAGCGGCACAGCTCTTGCCTGGCAAGTGCAAGGTAGTGAGTTCGATTCCTGGTACAGGAAGAAAAACAAACAAACAAAAAAAGACTCAAGTGTTGGGGGAAAGGATAAGGGAAAATTATTGAATGAATATATAGAGCTTCAGATTTTTGAGATGAAGCTCTCTAGTGTGTGTGGCTGGGGGCACAACTCCATGATAGAGCACTCGCCTAGCATGCAGAGGCCCTGCATGTGTCCCTAGCCCCGCAGACAAACAAGCCACAATGTGAATATAGTTTACACTACTGTACTGTTTGCTCATATGGTTAAGATGGCAAATTTTGTCATTTCTCTTTTTTTTTTTTTTTTTTAAAAAAGACATGTAAGACATTAAAATGAGTTAGGAAATTGCCATGTGAAGCCATTTAATAGACATTTAGTTCCGGACCAGTTTACCTGAAAAAAATACCTTTTCGCTGATATATGCCTTATGGGATTCTCTTTTCATTATACTCAAGGTGATAGGAGAGAGAGAAGTCAGTTTTAGCTCGAACGATGTTTGTCATTGTCTCTTGAGTGACATTGGGGATGACAGCTGGGATATTAAGGCTGCCAACTATATAGGCAGCTTCCAGAGCCTGTGCTGAGATTTCCTAGCACAGTAGAAATGGCGGAGATGGTTCCATGAGTCACAGATGAGTTTCCACTATAAACGCCACATCCCCAAGTTATTATCTGAGTCAATGTGATGAGATATGGCCCCTCTGTGACCGTGGCTGAGCGAGGCACAGAGGGGGAGAAGTGGGCGAGTCTGTTTCTATCCAGTCTACTTCTCTACTGTTCCCTGGGCAAAGGGTAGTTTTTTTGACTAGTGGTGATAAGCATAATATTTGATTCTGTATGTCAATGAGGTCACTGTTATAAAGCTCTGTGGGTAGAAAGTCTGTTTAGACTGAAATTAATAATCTAGTTACTGAAAATGGGGTCTTCATTTGTCTTTCCAAAGGTCATGTCTTCCTGTTTTTTGCTATGGCATTGACTGCTATACAAATTCAAGCCCTGACCTGTGTCTGTGAAATGCCTTTCATTTTTGTTGTGAGTGAATAAGTTACCAGTGGTCCTGAGCATGAGCCTCTCATTCACAGATCTCCTGCCCCTGGGAGCAGCCCTCCTTGCTGTGAGGTCAGGCACGAATGCACAGGTGGGTCTTTCCACTGGGTGAGTCTGAGCACAGGAAGACTCTAATGGGGTACAGTCCCAGGGTGGGATGCAAGACTGTCTGGGCATTGCACTGTATGTAGGGACTGAGGCTGTCGTTGGTCCCTCCCCACCTCCAGCAAAAGATGAGAGCAAAGGTTGGCTAGAAGGGCCAATTCCTCTGGGCAGTCCTAACCCTGCCTGCACATCGGACTTTGTCCTGGACAAAAGAAACAGAAAGATGCTGTGTGTCGCAGTGTAGGAAGAGAGAAAGAGAAGGGGTGGGAGCAGTTGGGGATGGGGAGTAGAAATGATCAAGATGAGATGTGTATATGTATCCAACACCTGAACTGAACGCAATCACTACCTGAGGCAAATATGCACTAGAGAGAGAGAGAGAAAGTCAACCAGAAGACAGAAATCTGAGGATGTATAAAAACAGAAAGATACTCAGAATCTACATATGACCATGTAGCTAGTGCTGATCAGGGAAGCACATTTGTGTAAAGATTTTGAGATGTCCTCCTCATCAAATGACAATTACTAACTACCTTTTTCAGAATCAAATTGAACTCAGTGAATCCCACACCTCTGAAGATCGGATTTCTTGAGCTGGGCATGGTGGCGCATGCCTGTAATCCCAGCACTCAGGAGGCTGAGGCAGGAGGATTGTTGCGAGTTCGAGACCAGCCTAGGCTACAAAGTGAGCTGAAGGCCAGTCTGAACTCCATAGCGAGACCCTGTCTCAAAAAGATCAGAAAAAAAAAGATCAGATTTCTTGCAGTTTTAACCTCCAGGACCCAGCGATAAACTGAGGGAGAGAGGCGAGAAAGATGCCTGTGCTGGTGAGGAATCCTTAGCAGGTATTTTACTCTGTCATCTATTAACTCTTGTTTAACACAGAATGATAACAAGCCCAGTTATCTTACCTTTCAAGCAGTGGTGTCTAAGGAAAAACAAACTTAGAAGGGCAAATTAGTAACAGTGAAAAGCTCTTTGTTATTACAATGAAATATCGGATGTCATGTAATGAATCACTGAAAAAATGACCTCTTGTTAACGTGACAGAGGGGGAGGTGACAGAAAACTCAGAACGGGACCCACAACTGGCAGAGCCAGGCTGGTACCAGAAATCCAGCCGACCTCACAGACCAGACGCTTTCCTATGTAGTGTTTCACAGTTGTTAAATGTTTGTAGAAATTTGATAGACAGAAGGAATCTTAGAGATTATCTTACCTGATTCTTTCATACAAGGTGGTCCAAATGATTGGCTCTCTCTCTCTCTCTCTCTCTCTCTCTCTCTCTCTCTCTCTCTCTCTCTCTCTGTGTATAAAATGTCTCAAGCTTTTATTTGGTGTCATATATATTTAAAATTGATATCAAGCCAATATTTCTAAAATGAAAATATTGGCATTTGAAAGGGTAACTTCTGTCACCTGAGGATCATTTCTTTTTGGGGCACTTAACGCTGATGAAGCTCAGTTAGGGCTGGTGGGCGTGGGTGCCAGTGTCGCCTCGCTTTGTGTTCACTGGGGTCTCCGTTCAGAGGGCCAGGTGAGGAGGCAGGGGTGGCATTTCTGTGACCCTTCCTGTTCCTCCTCTGTCTGAGAATGGCGCTCAGAAAAGGTGAGTCCAGACACACGGATCAGGAAAACTACTGATTTTCTAACTGATTCTCCTGGTGGCTTTTGGAAAAATCAGGTTTGTCTTTGGTGAACACTGTGTTTATTGGGGCATAGCTCTGCCTTCTTTTATATTACTATGGAGCCTTTGGGAAAATATTCAACCCAGTGCCCTGGGCCCTAGGATCCAAGAAATCTGTTCCCCATTATCCCACCACATTACACCCATTGGTATCTTCTCCAGCTCTGTCCCCTCCCGGGTGTATGTTGATTGCTTTATGTTGCAGCAATCTTAGATTTCCGGGTGTCCCAGGCCAGCTGTGCTGCCTCTGGAGACATCCTGGATGAGCTCTACAGCTCTTTAACCCAGCCCAGGCCACACTGTAGTGGGCCATGGCACATTCTCCTCTTATCCTGATGCTCTGTTATGTGTTTTGTTGGTGGTCTCTGTACTTGCAGGAGAGAATGAGCTTTCTGGATTACTGTGTGCTGGTTCCTGGTTCGAGGTCCTGGTGTCGGCCGAGCTCTGAAGGGGACACTCTGGGTCTTGAGGATTGAATCAAGTCGTGCCTCAGCGCCTGGAAGAGGCTAACAAGGGCCTGGGCCCACACATCCTTCTGGTACCCTTGGGACAGGGCTGTGCGGTAGGCCGTGTAGGCCAGGGTCAGCACTGTCCGCTCAAAGTCTTCTTTCTTGAGGATGCCGGGGCGGCTGGCCAGGCTGGCGCTGAGCCGGCGTATGTCAGGGATGCGCTTGGGGATCACGTCGTTGCAGATGGTTCGGAAGTTCGAGGCCTTCCGCAGGGAGGCCAGCTCCTCATCCTTGACAGAGATCTTCAGGTCAGGGCTGATCTCAAGCTCGGCCAGCAGGAGCTAGGGGGAAACACGGGATGTGGAAAGATGTGAATCCCGCGTGTCATCCAGCACACAGCGGTCATCATTGTCACGCGCGCGCGGTCGCTTAGGGAGGGGGCTGGGCCTTGGAATCAAAGAGAACTGGGTACCAGTTCTGATCCTCCCACTTCCTGTGTCACTAGTTAGTTGTGGACAACTAACCTAACTTCTCTGGGTGGTCCTTCCTCTTTCTGTAAACTATTTCTGTAAACTATAAGACTATTAACAAGATTTACTTCATGGGTGTATTATAAGCATTCTGTAAGACAAATCTGGACAAATCTAACACAGTGCCTGGTACAAAGCCACGATTTAAGTGACCAGTTATTGTTTCCAGTGAACCAAAACAATCTTTTCTCTTCTCCCTCTCACCCACTAAAGATCTTCTAAAGCATAAACTGATAGACAGATTTTTCTGTGGGCGGGGCTGGAGGTTGAACCTAGAGCTTTCACACTGAGTTATATCCCTTTTTTATTTTTTAGGTTGAGATAGGGTCTTGCTAAGTCACTAAGTTACCCATGCCAGGCTCAAACTTGGAATCCTCCTACCTCAGCCTCTCAGAGTTTTGGGATTTCAGATGTGTACCATAAGCCTGGCTATTTCAGATACTTTTACAGCAGAAAGTGGGACTTTGAGGAATGTAGCGCCTCGCATTAGGGATGTAGTGGGAGTCGGATTTGTCTTCACTGTTCTGTGGCTTGTAGTGTAAGGGCTGAGTCTGTTATCTGCCTTGCTGTCCACAGCCAGGCTCACAGCAGGAGGCGTATCATACAGAGACGGAATGATTTCAGGTCCCAAGTTTTCTTCCTCCTGACCTGCTGCCTAACACTGTCTGATGTCTTTCTAAACAACGGATCTGTTCTATGACTTCCAGGTTCAAGGCGGGGCTAATGCTATGCATTTACCAGTCTGCTCCCCAAGGCAGGGCTTTGTGTCTCTGCCCCGGGCCAGCTATGTGGCCACGTGGGCCGTGTCTTTCTTAACCAGACGGTTCTAGTGTGTGGAGCCAGAGATTGTCAAAGTTGGAGGGCAGTTTGGGGAACCAGAGCTGAACTCTTAGGTCAGCAGTCAAGGGTCAGGCCCAGGGACTCACGTGAGGTCACAAGGCTGGTGGAGTAAAGCTCAGATCTTGAGCCTGGGGCTGTCCTGCTGGCCCCAACCAGGCAGCCGTGGGGACTTGGCCTCTGGTATGGAGGAGGGGTAGTGGTAGCCGTGGGGACTTGGCCTCTGGTATGGAGGAGGGGTAGTGGTAGCGTAGTCTATAGGGTGGCTCCTAGATGGGCTAGCAGGTCAGGAGGCAACCTTGCTGGCATGGCAGCAGGACCTTAGAGATGTGCCACACACAGATCTAATGATGCGCCCCAGTCCTTGAGGCCTTCTGTTGTGTAAGGGCCACCCTTGGGTGCCTGGGTGTGGGCAGTGGCACCCTGAGTCCAATCTGTCTCATTATCCTGAATTGAACTCACAAGGCTGTCATCCCCACTGCTGTCCGGGAGAGGAGGGGAGGCACCAGAAGTGCCCAGCTTAAGATGGACAGGGGTCCAAGACCTCCATGGTTCATCTAGGCCTTTCCTTGCTGAGGTTCAGGCCAGTCATGCCTGGAGTCTTGGGCAGTCTCCTCCAAAAGAGGAGGTGCGGGTTACCTGGATGAGCCGGGTGGACCGCTTGCCTTCCCCTACCTCATAGAGTAGCTCCACTTCCTCCAAGGAGGTCTGCAGGACAGGGTTCAGCGGCACGGAGGAGGACCTCTTTGGCCGGTGGGCAGCGGGGAAGAGTATGGCTGGAAGAAAACCAGAGGGAGCTGGGCTGCTGTGTGCGCGCTTGGCTGCCTCACTGCCCTTAACCTTGAGCAAAGCCATTCACCTTCAAAGAGAGCCGACAGCTTGCAGGTGTAGGGCACAGACCGCCCAGCAAGTCCCTGGACCATGTCAGACCAGTAGCTTCAAACCCTGTTGCTCGTCAGAACCATTGGAAAAAGTTTTGAAAAACTGATATGCCTGGGGACATGTCTGTGCTAGAGAATTTATACTAAAACAAAGCAAGAGAAAGCAGAACAGAAGTGAGAAAGCACACAGAAATCTCCCAGTTCAACAAGTGATTTCTTAAAAATACTGTCGCCTAGTAATATCGCCAAACCGAACACTGTTTCATCGCTATGCAGTGCTGGTTTATAATTTAATTAGGGGATCAGAGTTCTGCTTGCTGTACCCACTGGAATCAGAGCTCCCAAGAGTCTGAACACAGTGACAAAATAAAGGAAGAAAGCTGCCCCAAGCCTGCCTCTTGGCTGTAGGGAACCTGTGGCCAGCTCCCAGCTGCCCCCAGGCCGGGCTGATGTGGACTTGTGCTGGTGTGAAGCCAGCAGCCGGATAGACCATGCTGCTCCATAGTGGCTGCATCTGCAAGCGGCAGCTGGAGGAAGACGGATGGACTGCCAGAGGAACACAGCGGAGCACGAGCAAGGCCCTGACAAGGGAGGGAGAGGACAGGCCCTTCCAGAGTGCGGGGGTGATCACGGTAGCACTCAGCTCTTCAGGATCATACTGGGCTAGGGGCGAATAGCCCTTTCCACCTGCACAGCCGCTCTGAGAAGCAGGCCCTGCGCAGAAGTGATGGGCTAGAGGGCTGCCGACTGATAAAACAAGGGCAGTTTCTTCAAGACTTTTGATTATGAGCCAGGCATGGTGGCGCATGCCTGTCATCCCAGCACTTAGGAGGCTGAGGCAGGAGGATTGCAGCAAGTTCAAGGCCAGCCTGGGCTATATAATGAGTCCCTATATATATATATATATATATATCTTTATATATATATGAAGAACAATAACAAAAAGACTTTTGAATATAATCTTCCAGCAAACTAGGGGAGGAACTGTAAAAATCAGCCTGTGACAGGAGTCTGAGGCCCTCGTGTTGGGCAAGGTTAAGTCTTTATGACCATAATGACGCCCTGCTGGTCGCAGGGCCCTTGAGCCATGGAGAAAAGATCAGATTATGTTCAATGTGTCACGCTAAAGAGGGCAGGGAATGTGTAAAACAGTTTACAAAGATTTCCATCAGAAGAGATAAAAATTGATGCATCTTCAACTACAAAGGCGCTTTCCTGAAAAGCTCCCTGTAGCAATCTCCCATTTCCGGAAGGAGCTGGCTGCTATTGTGCTGCTGAAACACGGCCCTCTCAGAGGTTCTGTAGACTCAGCTCGTCAGGGCCCGGTGAGTGTGATTTGATGTTTTCTGTAAGTACCAAGCAGAGACCGCTTTGTCTCTGCCTGCTCCCTGGTAGGACAGCAAACCAGGATGGCCGGTCTTAGGTCAAGGCGTGAGCTGTTTCTGTGCCTTTCTTTTCCACCATGATAGGGGCAGAGACCCCTTCTCAGGATAGGATTTGAGCACGACTTTCTTCCCTGTCTGTCTCCTCCACTTCCTCCCCGCCCCGTCTCAGAGGCTCAGCAGCTGCCAGGACGAATGCCTTCCCCTTCCCTGGAGATGCTGGGAGGTAAATGTCTGGTCACTCCCAGACGTTCCCATCCGCAGTGGTGAAGGCTGGCTCCTGTCAGAAACGCCAGTGGCCGAAGCAAAGACTGCCTAACTCCGAGCTGTAGACAGGCAAAGCTTGGAGCTAGACTTGCTCTTCCCTCACTAGAAGAACAGCCCCGTCTCCCCAGGAGCCTCTACCCTTTCCTTCTCGTCCCATTCCTGAATTTATGGAGGCCCTGGCAAGTTCAGCTCCCTGGTCAGGCTTCACGAGGAGGGAGCCCTGAGAGGGCCTCCTGGATGCCCAGTGGCGAGGGCACCTCCCTCAGATGGAAGGGCGAGGAGGGCCCAGAGAGGAGACAGACCCTGGCAAGGAGGCACAGCTGTATGCCAGGGTCCATGGAGCCTCAGCCAAGAGGGCTGCTGGGAGATTCGCCTGATTTCCCGCATCACACCCCGCCCACCCCTCAGGCATTTCTTCAGCCCGTGGATGTATCTATGAGGGCTGCAGTGTGCCTGTCCTGGGGACGCCCGGGATCACTTGGCTCCCTGCGTGATCAACCGTCTGCTGCACAGGCTAGGCTCGGGGAGGGCCACTGAGGCTCCTTCCTTCCTCACTCCCAGTCAGACAGCATCTCTGACGCAGTGGGTTGATCAACGCAGAAGAGGTTCATTTGCTGAAGGTCGGGCATGTGGCCGGGTCCAGAGGCACAGCGTTCATGGTTACCCCCACGTCCTGTCCAGGCCTGCAGTGGAGAGACACCACTGGGCCTCAGACCGACCTGTCCCAATGTGGGGCTCAGAGACAATAAGAACTGGGGGGCACCCAATATGTGCCAGCCAGCAGGCTTTGCGCTGCCCACATGTACCTTAAAAGGTGAGTATTAACTTCCCAAGTTACAGCTAGAGAAAACTGGAGTGTGTGGAACCTGCCCCCGCCTCCCTATTTGTTTGAGATAGGACTGGGATTAAGACCCAGCTCTCCCAGACTTCAAAGCCCCATTTCACTGAGGCTGAACAATGCTATCTTCTCATAGGGATGGATGTCGGTCCACAGGCTGGCTGTTCTGCAGCTCTGGGTAACCGTGGAAGGGTCAGTGTAGTTCACTATGAATAAATGGATACTTTTGGTGTAGAACATGTGCTTATATAAAAAATGTATGTTTTAAATCTCTAATGTTGATTTATGACTATGTGATGTACAAGGTCAAACTGCAACCACCCTTAGGTCTTGCATAGATCCCAACTCTTTGCTCCCTTCTTATTCCTTTGGATATACTGGGCAAGAGCACAGCCTGGCCCTACCTGTTGCACACCTGGCCTACCTACCTGTTGCACACCTGCACGCATATGGCAGGAGGAGAGCAGCGCAGCACAGTCACTCACCCGATGGGGTTCCTTTTGGTGGTGGTGGTGCTGGGGGTTCAACCTGGAACCTCATACATGCTAGACAAGTGCCCTACCACTGAACTACATCCTTATACCTTTTTGTTTTTTTATTTTGGGGCGGAATCTCTAAGTGCTGGGCTTGAACTTTCAATCCTCCTAGTCTCAGCCTCCCGAGTAGGGCAGATTACACCCTGGCTCAGCGGGACCCTTAAATGCTGCCTGCCCATCACCCTGTCCGGCTTCTCTCCACCTCCTGCCTTCTCAGATGACTGCTGCGCACCTTCCCCTCCCTGTGAACGGCGGCCTGGCTCCTGCTCACACACACGACCCTCTGCTCTCAGGCTACTTAGACCCATGCTTTCCTCCAGTGTGAGAAGTCCCTGTAAAGACGGCGCCTCTGCAATCCAAACTGTCATTTCCGAATCTTAGCTTCCTCCTCTCAGCGGGGTCTTTCACAACAGCATGAAAAGACATTGCTCATCTTCACCACAATGAACAATGCCCGCTCCCTGGCTGCCTGTCCCGTGTCGCAGCCCGCTGGCTGCAGTCTCGGTGCCTTCAGCTTGGCATTTCCAGACCATGTCTGACTTCCTAATGGAAGCTCCCCTTCTGACTTGTGATAGCTGTTTCTTCTTACCTCCATTCCCAATACACACACACACACACACACACACACACACACACACACACACACACACAGCCCCTGGATTCCCCAGCCTTCCCCTCTCTCTCAGATGCCCAGCTATCATCTCTGACTTTCTCTGTCTTTTCACACCCCACTCCCTTATAGGAGCAGATCCTGCTGTCTGAACCTCGGCCACTGATCAGGTGCCTGGCCACTGCTTACTACACTCCAGCCAGCCTCTTGTCCTGGCTCGAGCATTTCCCTAGTGGTGTCTCGGAGCCTGTGCTGGGCCCCTGCCCGACCACATCCTTAACACAGCAACTGGAGTGAATCTGTGCAGCCTGACAGTGCTGCTCCTCTGTCCCCAGCCCCTCTGCTTTTTCACCTCTCTTAGAGCATGAGCTGAAGAGCTGCAGGCAGCTACAGGTGCTCCATGATTTGACTTTCTTCTTCCTCTCTGTGCTCAGCTCCTACCCTTCTTTGGCTCATACCTCCCTGGCCACAAAGGAACCTCACTGCTTCTGAGCACACCAGGTAAGCTTCTGCCACAGGGCCTTTGCATAGCTGTTCCTCTACCAGAACAGAGACTGCATGATGTGTCCCATCACCTCTTAGGTCTTTTGTTACTTTCCCAATGAAGCTTTTCATGAACACTGTGTTTAAAATTATAACCCTCTTTACTCACTAACCATTGTTCCTACTTTCCCGACATCTAAAAATCACATACTTGTATGTATGTTCATTTTCTGTCTCCCTTCCATGTGAGTCCGGGATTTTGTCTGTTTTATTCATTGCTATATTCCCAGTGCCATGCCCAGGACTGTTTGTTGCTTGAATAAACAATCTCATAGCAACGCATTATCGACCCCTGTTACCAAACTTGATTCTTTTCAATCAGAGTACTTTACAAAAGTCTTCCTCTTTAACAGGGTGGTTCTAGAGGTTATTTGCAGTTCCGGATCCTGGCTAATGATCAGAAACCACATATTGATTCTATCTCCACCACATCCTTCCCTTATCTCTCAGGAGTTCCTGCCCTAGCCTGGAAGGAGTGATTTTTAATTTATCTCAGTGAAGGCGGTTGCTCTCTGCTATGCTTTATTCCTATAGAGTCTCTGGCCTTGATGTGCAACTAGGAGGTGCCCCAAGTCTAGCGGCCAACCTTGGGCTGTGGTCTGACCTTCTCTGGGGCTTTTCAACCTCTGAGCTGGGTTAAAAGTCTTCCTCTTCCTCCTCACCTTTGTACATTCCGCTCCTTATAACAACACTAAGGCTCCTGGTTTTCGCTGTGCATGAAGCACTTGAGCCCTAGAGCTGGTTGGGAAGGATTCAGACTGCAGATCCTGCACAGCACAAGCTGGACTATGTTTAGTGGGTCATAGTGGAGACACCATGGGCGTGGGCGGGACACGGCTCCCCTGTGGAACGTCGTGTGTTAGGTTCTACTGCTGTTATTCGCCTTTTGGCTCCTGGGCCCGCCTGTGGGAAACCTGGGGCTGTCGGAGGGAGCCAGGGTGTTGGCCCATGTGCTGGGGCCTCAGGAGAGCCTCTGAGAGGTGCAGTGTCACCTGGGGGATGGCGGAGGAGGAGTGGGGGCAGCGAGACAGTGTCAGCAACACGGTCACCCCTTCTCGTCCACCCTCCTGTCCCCTCACTGGTAATGGCCACAACAGTGCCGCCTCCTGGAGCCGTGTGGAGGACACGGGTGGCTCTGCCTGGGGCCCTCGGCTGCTGCTGCTGGGCACCAACCTGGCCCTCCGAGCGCTCACCACCGGGGCGCCCTCGACTCTGGGATGCACATGGAGCTGGCAGCATCCACGAGCAGCAGAGCACGGAGGGCGGCCTGCCCGACGGACCTGCCTTGCCAGAGCTGTGCTGTGTGTTTTTAACAATGTGAATGCTTCTATTCATAAGTACAGGTTTCCAACCTGTCCTCCCGCCCCGTCTCTCCCTCTCTCTCTGTTTTTCCTTTTCCCTCCCGGCCTCCCTCCCCTCTTCCTTTCCTTCTTTCTCCCATAATACTGAGAGATTCAGTGCAGGGCCTCTAGTGTGCTAGCCACATCCCGGACCCCATATTTGCCTATTTGTGAAAAGTCTGTTGGTTCCTCCTTGCTCCAGTGTTGCTCCGGCAGGACCTGGGACATGAAAGGACATGGGCCGTGTGTGTGTGTGTGTGTGTGTGTGTGTGTGTGTATGTGCGCGTGCGCACGCACGCGCGCGCCTGTGTGTGTGAATCCAGCATCCCCAGGGTGGCCACACTAACCGCAGGTGAGTCATTTGGTCAGAATCAAGCCCTGGGGGCTGGACTGGGCAACCCTGGACCCTGGCATGGAAACTCCCTCCCAGGACACAATCCTAGAGAGCGCCTCTCTGGGAGAGGCTGGGGAAGGGCAGGAAGAGGGTGTGCTGCCAGCTGTGTGTTCCCCCTTGAGTTTATTGCCCCAGGTCTGTACTCGAGAGCCTGAGCTGGGGATGGACCAGGAAGACCTGATAGGACAGGGGGCCTCCCACTGCTTCCAGAGGGAATTCATCAAAATCGGAGCTGCAGCTGGGATGGGTGAGGAGGAAGGTGAAAGGAATAGTACATGCGGGTAAACTGTTATTTATTTGGGTGTGTCCCTTAATTCCATCTTAAGCAATGACAAGGGTTGTGTGTTCCTATGATAGAAAAAAGTTAATATGAACAACATTAAGCATGCAGAAGGCTTTGGGTGGGAGCTGGAGGAACTCCACAGCATTTGTCTGCGTTGACCTGGACCTTGGACTGCGAGTCTCGAGCTCCTGCCCCACTGCCCCCTAACGCCCTGATGTCAGCTGCGCTGGGCGCCAGTCCTCACCTCCCTTGTGAAGGTCCTGGCTGTGCTGGGAACAGACCTTCCCTAGAAGCGGGGCCCAGCCAGAGTAATTGCTTCGGGGTGTTGCTACCAAACCCTGCTGAGGGCCTCGAACTTTCTTTAGTGGAAAGTTTTCACTTATTAAAAAAAACCTGACAGGTAATAGCTAACATTCGTACAGTGCTTCCTCATTTACAAAGCGTGTCGTTTACATCTGAATAGGACCCTCACAACACCGCAGCCTAAGTTTTGCCTCCTTTGCCTGTTACAGTTAGTGAACTAAAATGCAGGGAGGTTAGAGAGAATGCGTCACGCAGTCGGTTAATTAGGGGCAAAACTTCTTTTGGCGCCCCTTGCAGGGCCTCCTGAAGTGGCCAGAGTTTTCACGAGCCATGGTGCAAGTTATCTTTCTGCTTTGTGTCAGGAAGAGTAGGTGTTATCCTTTCAAGGGGGGAAGTTAGTGCCCCAGGTGACAGAGGGTAAGTGACAGAAGCCAGCTGCAGGATCTGTTGGCTGCAAGTGTGCCCTGAAGTGTGCGCACATCACGTGTGTACAGGTGTGTGCGCGCGTGTGCGGGGAGTGAACTCAGGGTTGCTACAAGCAGAAAAGGAAAAGGCTGTGTTATTTTCTTCTGGGCAGTAGTCGTTTCCTGGCTCACGTCGGAGGACTGGCAAATCCCTAATATCAGGCGCAAGCACGAGGAAATAAAGCCCCAAATGAGCGCCCAGCTTTGTCACCCTCCACCCGCTTCAGATCCTTCTCTGAGCTGCTGCTTCCTCCCCTGACTCTGGCCTTGCAGAGCAGGGCTGTGTCCCATGCAGCCACCACGTCACCGTCACCCGATCTGGCTCTCTAGAGTCACCTCCCTGGCTGCCTTGAGGGAGCACTGATCTTCCGGGACGTGAACTCAGCCAGCTCGGGGCGGAGGAAGGAGTTCAGGTCAGATCCGAGCGCAGTGGGCAGCACTCTGGTCCCGCATTTCCTACCAGTAATGGACCCGAATTGGCTCAAGGAGCTGCCAGTGGCTGCCGTGCAGTGCCAGTCCCAGGGCCCGATGGGAAAGATGCCATCCTGGCTCTGAGCAACCACGTCCAAGGGAGGGGAAACTGGCAATGCAGAGGATACCAGCTACATGAGGAAAGCCTTTGCAGGCTCCTTTCTCCCCAAGGTGACTGGGCAGGGGCTGCTGGGTGTGGCAGGGCAACCACCGAGAGCGGCCCCTGGGCCAGCTCCACCTGGCTGAAAAGGTGCATCTGCTCCTGAAAGGGGGGAGCACGCAGCGCTTCCTCCTCCCTCCCAGGCTGAGAGCCCCTCACCCTGGTGCCCCGGGGCACAAGGGCTCCTGCATCCCAGCGCCTATCATCCTGTCGTTTGGGTCACAGGCGTCGGGGCCTGCTCTGCAGAAGGTTCCCCCAGCCACAGCGGCTGGTGAGGAGCCGGAGGTAGCTGTGCCTACTTTCTGAAGCAAGAAGGGTTTTTTTTGGCACACCAGAAGGGGGTGCCCTTCAAGGGCTCTGCCCTGACCTGCTTCCCCAGTCAGCGCTTTGACTTTGTCCCTTCCGTCGGCTAACCAGGGTGGAACCCCCCAAGAAACAGAGAGATTGGCAGAGAGGAGATCAAAGGAGGCTTCCGATTTCCTTTCCTCGCCTCTAAGTTCCAAATTTCATTTAAGACAAGAGAGCATCAAGTGAGTGAACGAATAAAAAGCAACTCACCTCTGCTCCACCTGTGGGAGACGGTCGCCTGAGCATTGTAATACAACAGCAGAAGCAGCAACGTCTTCCAACACATGTCTTCCTCCAAAGAGGTGAAAACTCGACCTCACACCCAGGGAGAACCCAGTCGCTACAGGTGGGCTCCTGAGTTAGTCCCAGAGAGGAGGCAGTGTTCTTACTACCCGCCTTTTCCAGAAGCTCGGCGGTGATGTCCTCGCTGTGCCTCAGCGGGGTGGAGCAGACGGCCACCTCCTGGGTGGGACGGCGCCTGCACCTTCTTAATCCGACTCTCCCTGGGGTTGGGGGCTGGAGCGTCCACACAGAGGCTCTGTTTTTGAGCACATCTGGAGTGATTCACAGGGCATGTGATCGCCTTGGCAGTGGGGTGGATAAATATAATTTCTGTACTTGAGTTCCATGTGTTGGATGCGCCCACTGGAATTTTTCTTTAACAAACAGACCCGCGGAACTTGTTAGAGAGCCCGGGGAAGAGCTGGCGGCCCTCCCCGTCCACACGTACTGCATCAGAGCCAGCAGCAAGGGCGGCAGGAAGAGCTGGGAGCTTGCCTGGCGGACGGGGACACTGCTGCCGCCCAGAGTCGCCATCAGGACAGTATAATCCGTGTAGCACCTGGGCTGGGTGTCACTGTCACCCTTTCCTGGAGCTGGACCCAGGGATCTGGGGCCCTGATCCATCCCCAGGCTCTGGGCAGGTGAGATGCTGACAGTGTGAGGAAGCAGAAATAGAGGCGTGACTGGGCTGTAAGTGTGGTCTGCGTGAACCTGTTCAGGGCCACTTGGGAGCCCAGGGTCTACCCTCCCTTCACATTCATGATGCTCATAGGAAGCTGTTTCCTGTTGCTATACCAAGATGCCCGAGTCTGGGTAATTTGTAAGAAAAGAGGTTTATTTAGCTCACCTTTCTGAAAATCCAAGAGCATCGAGTCAGCTCCTGCTCTGCTTGGTGAGGGCCATGTGAGAGATGGCAGCTCGATGGTACCCATGTGTGTGGATGAGACTGCACAATGGGACAGGAAGCCTCAGCTTCAGGACTCAGGCCGGCTCTTGGGGTAACTAACCAGGGCTCACAGGTGTGACATTAGTCCCTTCCAAGGACAGCACCGCCAGCAACCTGATTCCCTTGCAGCTGGGCCACCTCTTAGAGGTTCTGCACCTTTTCTTAAAGACTTGCTTTTTCATTAGTGCATATTTGCCATACATAATGATCATATTCATCATAGGGAATTTGTACCTGTACCTAATGTATCCTAATTCTTCTTTTTAGTTCCCATTCCCCCTCCTTCCCTCCAACCCTTCTTCCCCTACCCGTTTGTTTTGTTTCCATTTTTTCCCTCCATTCTCTTTTTAAACCCCTCTCCCATGTTTCCCTTCCCTTCCCCCTCTCTTGCTCCCCTTCCCATTTTAGCTTGTTTTTCCCACTTCCCAATATCTATCCTGTACATGAATAGCAAACTCATTGAGAGAGAAATTAAGGAAATATCTTTCACGATAGCATCAAGAAAAACGAAATACTTCGGAATCAATCTAAGCAAGAAAGTGAAAGATTCCATATTGAAAACTATAGTACTCTGAAAAAGGAGATGGAAGAGAACATCAGAATATGGAAAGATATCCCCTGTTCTTGGGTAGGCAGAACGAACATAGTGAAAATGGCCATACTTCCAAAACTGTTCTACAGATTTAATGTAATCCCGATCAAAATACCAATAGAATTCTACTACTTTTTTTTCTTTTTTCTTTTTTGTGATACTGGGGATTGAACCCAGGGCTTTCAAAGCAAAATAGCAATATTTTTCTTTGATCATTTTAAGTAGTGCCATGGACATCTTGGTTTTCTCCAATACTACTTCCTCAGCTTCTCTGAAGTTATGGGGGGGGGGTATTAAAGTTTGAAGGACATTTAAAGTCCCCTTCCCTTTGTGGGCTTCCAGCCTATGGAGGTGGTGGCCAGGAAGAATGGCTACTGGAGAGGACTCTTGAGGTCTCCTTTACTTGAATCACAGCTCTCTACTCTAAAATCTGAAAGCCACTGAGCTCACTAGTATCAATAATGGCTGTTAGGAGCTTACTTGTCTCAGGCAGCATGCTGGGCTTCCTCCTTGTATTCACTGTCTGCAACAAGCTACAAGGAACAGCATGGAACAGCACTCACCAACAGACATTATGCAAATCACATTTACTTTAAAATTTTCTAGTTGCCTCATTATTGAAATGAATGCAGGTGCACTTAGCTGCATTATTATTGTCTATTTAACTCCACATATCCAAATATTATCATTTCTATACGTAATCAGTGTGGGTACCAACAAGATATTTCATGACCTTATGATGTCTCTGAAATCTAATGTGTATCTCATGCTGACAGCGCATGCCAAGTCCCTGGGTGGCCAGAGGTGGCCAGGGACTCCCATGTCAGACAGCTCAGGGCAGAAGATAACAGGGAAAGTTCTGGTGCAGGCGTCCTGTCTTTGTACCCACTATTGACTCTGCCATGAACTAACTGTTGACATTGGTGGGGTTCCTTAATCTCGCTTTACCTTGATTTCTCTCAGCTACAGATAATAACAGTTTCATCTTCAAGGCTTGTTGTGAGGAGTTAGCCTAGCATGTATGAATGCTGACAGCTATTGCGTAGGTGCTATACACACATGAAGAAATAGGGGCAGGGGGTTAAGTGTATGCCCAAGGTCACCTGCTAGGAAGCTGGAATTTTAATTTGGACTGCGTGATTCCATACCCCAAATGCAAAACTGCTTCCCTAGCCTGCCTCAAAGCCTTACATTTTGGGAACCCCTTAGCGGAGCTCTGGAAACCCATTCTGGGGTTGGGGAGAAGCCTTGATTTGTAGTGCTGGCCAATTTCCCTGGTGAAAATACTCCCACCATGGCTGATTTCAAGCCACCAATAGTTTGACAAGCAGTTGCAACATTTCTGAAATACAAGCAATTGGCTCATGAAGCAGGCTCCAGCACACCCCTGCCTCTTGTGCTGTGAGTTCTATTGGCTCGGATACCTCCCTGCTTTTCGTGTGATGCTTTTGTTTTGTATTTTGTAAATCTGCAAGCATTGCTCAAAGCACCTATAAGAGACTGAGTTGACGGAATATTTGTTGATCAGCTCTGAAGCTAAAGAAGCTTGGGTCAGACTTTCTCTCACCAACTCCTCCTCGAGTAGGAAGGCGCTGAGGGTGGTGGTGGATGCGCCTTGTGATCCAGGACCAGTATTCGTGATCTTGGCCTCCGGTCCTGCATGTTTTCATCTGCAGCCTCAAATCTCCAAAACTGTCACTTACTGATTACTAAACGGGGAATTAGCTTTTGGATTCAGGCTGGACCTGAATGTGTTCGTATCTAATTTCATTTCAGAAGATGATGAGCCAGGTCTTCTCTACCCAGCACAACTTGGCACAGGGAGGCGAATGTCTATAGTTTCTCAGAGAGTGTGAAACCCTGGCCTACTGTGCTGTCTTCTCTCTCCCTAATTCTCTTGTTCCTGGTTTCGTTCATTTTTTTTGGTACCGGGAATTGAACTCAGGACCTTGTGCTTGCTAGGCGGGCGCTTGTGCCGCTGAGCTATATTCCCAGCCCATGATTTTCTTGTTCTTGCTACAATTGTCTGTGCACTGGGTCACACAGCTAGAGTCACACAACCTCTGGGGGATAAATACTTCCATCTACTAAAGAGCAGGTGCTGGTAGGAACATGAGAAAACTAGGAAGGTGGCCTTTATGTACAGAAAGTTGTAAAGGGTGTGCTGAGCAGGGCTGGTGGAAGATTCTGTTTGCCTTGGGGCCCTAGCACAGAAGTGGTGCCCTCAGCACCTGCTGGTTTGCCATTTGCTTGTTCATGCCTAGATTCATTCACGTAGGCCTGAACATCTCCTCTGTGCCGGGGAGTAGATATAATAGGCTAAACAGGGCACAGCTGGCCTCCAGAACTGTGAGACAACACACCTCTGTTATGCTGAGCCTCTCAGTTTGTAGAACTTTGTTATAGCAGCTCCAGGAAACTGATGCAGAGTCCACCTAGGAGCGGTGGCCCAGACTGAAGGACACAACAAGTGTAGACTGTGGCCCAGATGGAAGAATCAGGGGATTAAATACCCAGAACTCTCTCCTGTCTCACGTTCTCATTTCCGTCCCCTGCTTCCCAATAGCTGGACCCATCCAGACCCATCCAGCAGCCAGAGGGCAAAGGAGCTATCACGGTGATGTGGTCCGCAGAAATCGGCCTCCCAGGCACAGAGAAGCACGAGGGGGCGTGTCTTGAGGATGAGGAGAGTAGATCCCGCCCAGGAGGTGGGAAAGGTATTGGATACGGAGTGAAGGAACGAATGAATGGATGAATGAACGGGAGTGTGATGGAGACAGAACTCCAGGTATCCCTTGTTTCTGGGAAGCAGATGATTTCATGCATTGCTATTTCCATCAGGAGGAGAGGAGCCACAGGTCTGAACACCTAAGACTTCTCTCTGTGTAGCTCCCAGCCCTCCCTTCTGGCTCTGTACCCAGACTCTGAGTCTGGTGAAGCCTCTGTCTTTGTTCACACAGCCAGCACCTTTAGGCTGGATTCTATTTTAAAGCTGTGAAGTGAGGTAATTTGGTACGACAACAGAAACCCAGCTGTAATTACAAAGTGCCAACCTCCGAAGCAGAAAAGTCATCTGGCCCCGAAGAGTTGCCGACTCGAATGACTTGGAGGACGTGCGTGCTGGTGCTGGCCAGGGCCGGAGTGTCCTCCTGAGACACAGAGGTCCGTGCGGACAGTGCTTTCCGCCCGGGGAAAGGAGCCTTTGGGGGATTCAGCTCCTGGGTGTACGTGAGGCCAGGACATCCAGCTGCTGCCGCCAGCTGTGCTAACTACAGTGGTGATGCAGGACGGCACAGGGTAGGACCACCAGTGGATGGGCCAGCTGAACAAACGGGACAGATCTTCCCTCTCCTGGGATGCTGTCAAGGTCCCCTGCTTTGGCAGAGCCCCTGAAGCAGGATTTGTGTGTCACCGAGCATCTGAGCCTGTTGGCAGTGTGTGGACCAAAGTGTAATCTCCATTGTAAATGCAGGGGTCTCATCTAGGGCAGGCCGGAGAGGCAAAGCTGCGTAGTTACTTGGCTTTTTCCGTCTGGGGTCATTAAAAGAGCAAGTTACTCTGTTTGCTTCTAGGGTTCTCACGTTTTGCTCTGTTGAGGAAGCTTGCCCAGACAGGGACATAGCATGGGTCGAGATTTAGGTAAAACAAATCCTAGATCATTCCATCCATCCCCTCCTGGTTGCTAATTTTACCAGTAATGCTACTTCTTCCTTGAGAATTCTCTTCAGACAGTAAACCTCCCCGAGTGTCCACCAGGTGCTGTGGGGTAAAGGTAGGTGATGGATGGATCCTTTAAGAGATGACTATTTTCTTCTTCTTTAGCAAAAGA